CACCATATCTGTGACTATAAGTATAGTGTCAAGCATCTCAATTAATGTCATTCAATAACTTAAAGCTTTCACCTCACAGTGGTACCATAGAGCCATACCGCTTCTGACATTCATTCACCTAATAACGTCATTCGCTTAACGAGTCAATCTACTTGACGTCATTCATTATTGCATGTTGGAGTGTTTCACTGTCCCGTAAAGACCTCATTTCGTAGACGCTCGCGAAATGTATCTTAATCCACTAAATATCGTTATTATCTGAACCAATCAACCTACTTGACGTCATTTTAATACTGCACGATGAAGTGTTTCACTCTTCTCCACGCACCACATTTCGCAGACGCTGACGAAATGTATCCTAATCCGCCCAATATCGTTAATTTCTGAATTAGTCAACCTACTTGATGTCATTTTACTGTTGCACGATGAGGTGTTTCACTCTTCTGCATGTACTACATGTCGCAGACGCTGACGAAATATATCCCAATACGTAATTAAGTTATTCCTTGAATGAGTCAACCTACTTGACATTATTTTAATATCGCAAGTTTCACTCTCCCCCATATACCGCATTTCGCAGACGCTCGCGAAATGTATCTTAATGCGCCCAATACCGTTATTCTCTGAATGAGCCAACCTACTTGACGTCATTTTATTGCTGCACGATGAGGTGTTTCACTGTCCTGCACGGACCACATTTCGCAGACGCTGCCTAAATGTATCCTAATCCGCCCAAAATCGTTATTCTCTGAGGAGTCAACCTACTTGACATCATTTTAATTTTGAATGGTGGGGTGTTTCACACTCCTGCAACACCCACATTTCGCAGACGCTCACAAAATGTAACCTAACCCGCCTATTCACGTTATTCCTTGAATGAGTCAACCTACTTGACATCATTTAAATGCTGCTTGGTAGGGTGTTTCAATGTACGGTCCTCATTAGGTTAGGAGCTCGTTCGGTCCTCACTTTGGCCGATATACACGTCATAAATTTAAAATAGTTCTTTCCGTGTATACTCGCCACTTTTAGGCCTAACAATGGCGTGCTACCAGATCATCTTTGTAGCTGCATTCCTTCTGGTGGTCCTCACTTTATATGGTATACAGTCGGTCCTCACATATACATAAATACAGGGTGTTCCTTAATGATATGCGAATATTTAAGGGTGTGAATCTAAATATTAATGATAGTTTGCTTTATAAACTATGGCCCAAAAACGTTTCCTTTTAAAAAACTCGGGCTGTTGAGGTTTTATGAAAAAGATGAAAATTAATCAATATTTTCAGAACCGTTTCAAATTTTTCACTGATATTTAGTACGTAGTGAGAGTTAATAAAGTTGCATATTTTACAATGCAAAAATGAGTTTTAGCTTTAACAGTGGCGTGCGTACGGGTACTGACTTCGATATTTTTTAAGAAAAAAATGGTACGACAATGGTTTTTTGCCAAATAAAAATTATTTTTGAATTCCCCGTTCAATTTAAAACAAATTATCTTTCTTGAATTGTTTTCCTTCGATGCGCCATTTTTGAGTAAAAAAATAAAAGCCGTTCTATTGTCTAACTTGTAAAATTTTATTAATTTAATTGGAAAAATTAAACACATTAGGGGTAATGAACAACCAACAACTGACAACATAAACTTAACACTAAAACCAACGAATGGATTACAAAAAATTTTGAACATGGCCCCCTTCACTTAGTATGCATGCCCTCCTTCTCATGGAATTGCGCACTCGTTGAAATATCCCTGGAGTGTTTTTAATTCTATCACAAGCTGCAACTATTCTTTCTCTTAATTCATCTACAGTGTTAATGGGATTTGTGTACACTAGTGTCTTAAGATAGCCCCACAAAAAGAAATCTAAACTGTTGAGGTCTGGAGACCTTGGTCGCCATTCTTGGGGCCCACCGCGGCCAATCCAACCATTTGGATAAACAGTTTGGAAATAATTACGAACCGCTACACGGAAATGCGCTGGTGTACCATCATGCATGTACCACGTATTGTTTCTTATTACTAACAGAACATCATCAAGCAGCAAAGGCAACTGTTGTTGAAGAAAATTGAGGCAAGTCTGTCCGTCACGTCGTCCCGGCAGGAAGAATGGGCCAATAAAGTGGTTGCCAATAATTCCTGCCTATATTTTAACCGAAAATTGGTGTCGGATATGGGTTTCGGTTACGGCATAGGGATTTTCTTCTGCCCACAAATGACTATTGTGGAAATTCTGAATGGCATTTCGAGAAAAATTTGCTTCGTCCGTCAACAGAATCTTTGATTTAAATTTCGGATTTTATAATATATATACAGGATGTTCCATAATTATTGCGACAAAATGATAGGGGTTGTAGAGGGCATCAAAATGAACAATTTTGCCTTATAAACCCCTGTTCGGAAATATGCCGTTTGGGCTGCAGCAAAAAAAAAGATCAGTTTCTTGAAACAGCTTACCTACAGTAATTGCTCAAAGTGTCCTCCACCTTGCTCAATACACAGCTGTGCACGATTGTTCAATGATCGGCGAACTCTGTGGCATACCCCCGGTATGTCCTGAACATGTGCGGACGCGACCATCACTCTTCCCAGTAGGTCTTGTTGGTTGGGAACAGGAGTTTCGTACACTAAAGCTTTCAGATGGCCCCAGAGAAAATAATCCAGTGGGGTCAGGTCGGGTGACCGCGCAGGCCAAGGCACAGGGCCACCTCGGCCTATCCACCTATTTGTCGTCCAAATACTGCCGCACTTGTAAAGAAAAGTGGGCTGGAGCGCCATCGTGTTGAAACCACGTGTTGGCTCTTATGTTCAGTGGCACATTTTCTAATAGTTCCGGTAGCACATGCTGTAAGAATCGACCATAAGCATGCCCATCCAAACGTGGTGGAAGCAAATATGGCCCGATGATATGCTCGTCCACAATACCGCACCAGATGTTAATTGAAAACTATGTTGGTCTCTATGGATGGCTATGGCATGAGGGTTTTCTTCATCCCAAATGTGACTGTTACGGCTATTAAAATAACCGTCCTTTGTGAAACAGGACTCGTCAGTGAACAAAACGTAGCGACCAAAGTTTGGTTGCGTCAACTCCTGCTGCAGCCACCAACGACAAAAACGTCGACGCGGCAGATAGTTTTCTGGACCCATGGCTTGGACTTTTAAAAGGTGGTGTGGGTGTAGTTGCTGGTCATGGAGAACCCGCCAAGCAGTAGTTTGAGACGCTCCCATTTCATGTGCAATAGCACGCACGCTTGTACGCGGATTGGCCTCTATATGATGCAGAATCGCTGACACGAAGACGTCCATGAATCCTTGCAAAAATGGCGTGATGCGGATGAGGACGTTCTGGAAACCGTTGGGCGTAGATTCACGAGGCTCGTCTTCCGTTACCACCAGCTTCTCCGTAAATTAAATGCATATCCGCAAGTTCCGCATACGAATAACGCTGCATTTTAACACTAAGGTACTGTTATTTACTATCTAGTTTGACGCACCACTCAGATAAATTAAATGAATCGATGTGGAGAATTTACGATAACAAAAATGTAAACACAGCAGGCTTTTTTTTACAAATCGGCGAGACATCAAATGTGCTAGACGAACATTTTGCAGCTGTTGAATTTTTTGTTTCTCCTATGAGCTCTTAAGGTAAAATTAGCGGTAGTGCTCAAACGGCATATTTACGAACAGGGGTTTATAAGGCAAAATTGCATATTTTTATGCCCTCTACAACCCCTATCATTTTGTCGCAATAATTATGGAACACCCTGTATATATATATAATTAATACCTGTACTCTTAAAATAGGGTAACGTTATAACAAAAAATCCACTAAAATTCTCTAAGCAATTTGATGGCAAATATTTAAGTATTTAGCGATCTTCCTCGTACTCGTTTCAGGATGTTCTCCGACTTCGTGCAGCACTGCTTCCTCAATTTCAGGTGTTCTCAAACTTAGAGGTCTATCTTCAGATGTTCCTTTTCGGACAGAACCAGTTTCAACAAGACGAAGATGAATACTAGAAAAGGTTCGATTATCTGGCAAAGCACTATCGGAATATCTCTGGTGATAAATCCGTCTGGCTTGCTCACCATTACCGTCGGCAAGGCCATATACGTAATGCATTTCTCCCATTTCTGCATTTGAATAATAATATTAACAAGATTGTAGAAACTAAATAATGGAAAAGATATCACAGCGAACAGATTTGAATATCAGAGACTTGTCAGATGTCAAAAGAATGTGACATATTCCAGAGCAACTCCTCGTAGATATTTATTGCCACATTGCATTCTTCAATGATTACATTAATTTTCTCGGAAAATAGAACGGTTTTTATTTTTTTACTCAAAAATGGTGCATCGAAGGAAAACAATCCAAGAGAGATTAGGGTAAACCCTATGGTTATTGGACACGACACAGTTATGGGACAGTTCACTTACGATCCCAGAAAATAAGGTTCAAAATCGTAGTACTTCGTCTGTCAACCGATAGATGGCTATATCAGTTCACTTACAAGGTCTGAAAACTAAGCCAGCGACATCTTTGCTTTGCTGAATAGTTTTGTATAAGTAGCAAGTGATGCACGTGAGTGCAGGTACGTATTCGTTAAGTTTTTGTTTAGGATAGAGAGTAATGTTTTTAAATACTGTTAGTTTATTTTTAGTTTGACCGTGATGCTTGTCATGTCATATGACTAAGTTTATACATAATATAGACGCACTATTGTGAGTGCTCACATATCCTATTATTATAACCTAAAAGTTAATATATCCAATAATTAAACTGAGAAATGCGGAAATTTCTAATATTGGACAGGTGTCCAATAACTGTATATGAACCATTTTGTGTAAAATCTATGCCAATCAACTAAAAACGTTTAGGTTTCTCCGCTATACTTTTTACAGATATTTCAGAGCACTGCGAACAGTTATTGGACGGATGTCCAATAATTAGAGATAGAGTGTCCAATAACTGTATAATATGTTTATTTTTAGTGACTAACGATGCCTAAGGTCCAAGACTATGATAAAAGCAACATAGAAAGGGCAGTGCAAGACGTCATCAACAAAGTTGAATCATATAGATCTGCAGAATTGAAATATGGAGTTCCGAAATCGACTATAGAATTTAAAATTAAGCATCCTGATCACAAAAATACTTGTGGTCCCTCACCTGTTCTCAACGAAGAGGAAGAGGTGATATTGGTGAAGTAAATGGATTAATAATACAGCTATTTATTGTCTATTATAACATTTGGCCATCGATTTCTAGCTGGATCCTAGAAACAGCACGAAAAGGATTTCCCAAGAAGGCCAACGACCTCAAGTCCAGTGTTCAAAATTTTGATCATCCGCGGAAAAATCCGTTCAACAACAATAGGCCTGGCGATGGATGGGTTAAAGTATGACTATAAAGCAATTCATAGCTATTTTTTAATAAAGATCATGTTTTAGGCTTTTCTGAAAAGGTATCCGGAAATTGTTGAAAGAAGTAGCGAATCTGTGAGCGCAGCTAGTGCGTGTGTATCCGAAAAGGATATCAGACTATGGTTCTCTGAATTAGAAACTTACATAAAAGGAAATTACTTGGAAGATGTGATATCTGATCCTACTCGAGTATATAATGCGGATGAAACAGGATTTGAAGTTAGCCCTTCTACTGGCAAAGTATTTGCGAAACGTGGTGCAAAAAACGTTTACACAATCGATAGAGGTGCAGCAAAAGAAAATATAACAGTTATCTTTGCTTTTTCAGCTAATGGGGAAATTGGTGTACCTATGATCATTTACCCCTACGTGAGATTTCCTGAAAAGATTGCTAAATCAGTAACCCCAGAGTGGGGCATCGGCCGTAGCCCTAAAGGATGGATGACCAGCGAAACATTCTATGAATATATTGTGAACGTCTTCCATCCTCATCTTGTGAAACATAATATTAAGTTTCCAGTAATCTTGTTCTTGGATGGTCACAAGTCCCATCTTAATTATACTTTAAGCCTCCTGTGTAAAAGGTTACAAATAGAAATATTCGCTTTATATCCAAATTCGACCAGGATCTTACAACCATGCGATGTTGCTGCTTTCCGACCACTTAAGCAAGCTTGGCGCCGGACAGTCAGAGAATGGGAAGAAGAGCACCCATCTGAGCTTCTCAATAAAGTGAATTTTGCTCCTGTCGTAGAAAAAGCTTTTAAATCCAGTATAAAACCTGAAACACCAGTTAATGGTTTCAAAGCATGTGGACTATTTCCGTTCAACCCAAATGCGATCGATTACACTAAATGTCTAGGAGCTAAAAGCACAAACCACACAATAATTCAGGATGTTCCTCTATTGCAAAGTCAGACCATGGATTACAAAACATTTGTTCAGATTGTAGGCCGAGAAATTATTAACAAATTTGAAATATTGAGTCAGCAGGTTCCCGAAATCTGTAATGACGATTTTATGTCACTTTTTAAACTTTGGCAATATTTCCACAGAACAAGTGATCAAAATAAGGTACATTCAGACCTAATATCAGAGACTCATTCAGAAGCAAACGGATCATCCTCTGACATGCAAGAAGGGTTACCAATTGTTAATCAGGATACTATAGAAAAAACACACACCACCAACTACCACCAGTAGGAAGGAATGAGGCCACAGTTGATGTACTAGTGCATGCCCCAAGATCTCCTCTCAGAGATTTGCAAAATTTAGTCACAGCTACAGCTTCATCCATGACGCCACGAATGAGCAACAGTGTCCGTCCCATACATACTGAGCTATTCGGTCAATATTTCACAATTCCAGAAAGTCCAAGAAGGAAAGGCAAGAGAATTGTCGAGAGAATTCCATTTGCCATTACATCAAAAAAATGTCAAGAATTCTTTGAGAAGAAGCAACAGATAAAAGAAAGAGAAGAAAAGGAAAAAGAAGAGAGAAAAAGAAAACATGAAGAAAAAGCAAATTTAAAAAAAGATACTAAAGTCAAATCGCAAATAAAAAGGAAGCGTGAAGAACACAAATGATTCACTTTCAAAAACAACATTGGTAGTATTGACATGCAATGTGAAACATGCAAAAATGTTTTCCATCAAAGCTGCATACCCAAAACACATAAGCAGTTCATCACTAATCAGGAAGATGAAGATGAAATTTTTCTGTGTCACATGTGCTATAAAGAAGACAATACAGATAGCAGCATCTCCGATTCTGACGGCAGCCATTCAGGTCAATCCGACTCAGAGGTCGCCAAGTTTTATCAGTTGTACCAAGAATATGCGAAACAAAAGAGATGAACTTCAACCTTCATCCTTTTACTAGTTGTAAGTAAAATGTATTTTGGTTGTGAAAATTAATAAAGGATGCAAAAATCAGCCAGTCTATATTGATCTCTAGTTTCCATTGTGGATGTCCAATAACTATCTGTAGTGTGTCCGATAAATATCAGAACTGTCCAATAACTATACTTTTTTGTATTGTTTGTCTTTTATTGTTTTTTCAAAAACATACTTTCCTCAAACACGTATCATTCACACTTCTCTAATAAAGCAACAAAAACCGTTTTAGAAAATGAAAGAGTTTTTGTAAATATACAATAGATAATGATTTTATGAGGGATTGAAAACAAATAAATGTTAAGTGTCCGATAACTGTATGGTTTACCCTATTTGTTTTAAATTGAACGGAGAATTCAAAAATAAGTTTTATTTGGCAAAAAAGCATTGGCCTACCATTTTTTTCTTAAAAAATATCGAAGTCAATACCCGTACGCACGCCACTGTAAAAGCTAAAAACTATTTATACTGAAAAATATGCAACATTATTAACTTTCACTATGTACTAAATATCAGACCAATATCTAAAGCGGTTCTGAAAATATGGAGGAAAGTGGATTCGAGCAGAAAATAGGATAGGTAACCCGAGCGATACGTATTTCTGCTGGTTGGCTTCATCAGGCCCGAAATGAATGCACATATGCAACTACAAAAGTAGATACACATGCCCACACATCCGGATACGGGTGTAACCTGAGGAAACGAAGATGGTGAGGAAAAATCAGCACACGAAGCCCACAACAAGAGACAACCTACACATTGATGGTTAAAATGGCTAGAAGACCTCAAATTTTCAAGGCGACATCTAACCACAACCAGTTGCTGTGGTACTTCAAGCCCAAAGGATCTACAAAAAGAAAATGATAGTGCGGAGAAAGGTAGATAACAAAAAGTAGGAAAATAATGGGCATATTCCGCGAAAAGAAGGAGAGTGGATTCGAGCAGAAAATAGGATAGGTAACCTGAGCGATACGTATTTCGGCTGGTTCGCTTCATCAGGCCCTAAATGAATGCACATATGCAACTACAAAAGTAGATACACATGCCCACACATCGGCATAGTATAAAATGGCTAGAAGAACTCGAATTTTCAATGAGACGTTTAACCACAACCATGCGGCCGGTTATAGCCACTTGCTGTGGTACTTCAAGCCCAAAGGATCGACAAAAAGAAAATGATCGTGCAGAGAAAGATATATAACAACAAGATATATAGCAACTACAAAAGTAGATACACATGCCCACACATCCGGATACAGGTGTAACTTAAGGAAACGAAGATGGAGAGCGTGTGCTGTTTTTTCCTCTCCTTCTCCGTTTCCTCAGGTTACACCCGTATCCGGATGTGTGAACATGTGTATCTACTGTTGCAGTTGCATATGTGTATTCATTTCAGGCCTGACGAAGCCAACCAGCAGAAATACGTATGGCTTGAGTTATCTATACTATTTTCTGCTCGAATCCACTTTCCTCCTCTTTGCGGATTTTGCCCATTATTTTCCTACCTTTTGTTATATACCTTTCTCCGCACGATCATTTTCTTTCTGTAGATCCTTTGGGCTTGAAGTACTACAGCAAGTGACTATAACCTGCCGCGTGGTTGTGGTTAGATGTCTGCTTGAAAACTCGAGGTATTCTAGCCATTTTATACCACAATGTGTAGGTTGGCCCTCGTTGTGGACTTCGGGTTACCTATCCTATTTTCTGCTCGAATCCGCTTTCCTCCTTTTTGCGGATTTTGCCCATTATTTTCCTACTTTTGATATATATATATACATATATATATATATAATAATCTAGTCGATGTATACAATAGCAAATTGGGTCGCTTGCATATACGAAACGTCTGTAGAGGTGATTTTTCAATAATTATATAATATAACAGATATTTTGTTATTCTCTAAATGAGTCAAGCTACTTAACGTCATTTAAATGCTGCTTGAACGAAATGTATCGTACTTCGCCCAATATCGTGTTTCCAGAACGAGCCAACCTACTTGACGTTATTTAAATAATGCACGTTGTGATGATTCACTCTCCTGCATGGATCACATTTCGCAGGCGCCCACGAAATGTATCCTACTTTGCCCAATCACGTTACTAATAGAATGATTCAGCCTACTTGACGTCATTTTGATGATGCATGGTGGGGTGTTTCACGCTCCTGAGTGGACGACCTTTCAGATATGCTCACGAAATGTAACCTAATCCGACTATTTACGACAATCCTTGAATGAGTCAACCTACTTGACGTTATTTTAATCTTGCATGTTGGAGAGTTACACTCACCTACATGGATCGCAATTCTCAAACGCTCGAGAAAGTAATTATTGAAGCTACTGAAACAGTCAACAGCTATCTCTCTCTCTGTCTGTTTCTCTCTCTATTGCCGGCATCACAGCTATGTAGCAAATTAAGTGAACTTGGAGAAAAACCAGTTGACATAGGCGGCAACAGTGTACGGTCCTGACTCTGTATGCGCTAAGTGAGAATATATTCTGAAAGGCCCTCACTTTGTTTTTATGTAAGTGTTTCAATATACGGCCCCGTTAGGTTAGGAGCTCGGTCGGTCCTCACTTTGTCCGATACACAAGTCATAAGTTTAAAATAGTTTTCTTCCGTGTATCCTCGCCACTTTTAGATATAACAATGGCGTGCTACCAGATCATGCCTAAAACCACATTTGTCGCTGCATTCCATCTGGTGGTCCTCAGTTTGTATGATATACAGTCGGTCCTCACATTGTATGCAAGCCAAAAAGAATATATATATATATAAAGAGTAAATTATCATGCGGAGAAAGGTATATAACAAAAATAGGAAAATAATGGGCAAAATCCGCAAAAAGTGGATTTGAGCAGAATAGGATAGGTAACCCGAGCGATACGTATTTCTGCTGGTTGGCTTCATCAGACCCGAAATGAATGCACATATGCAACTACAAAAGTAGAGACACATGCCCATACATCCGGATACGGGTGTAACCTGAGGAAACAAAGATGGATAGGAAAAAAAAAGACACCCGTATCCGGATGTATGGGCATGTGTCTCTACTTTTGTAGTTGCATATGTGCATTCATTTCGGGCCTGATGAAGCCAACCAGCAGAAATACGTATCGCTCGGGTTACCTATCCTATTCTGCTCAAATCCACTTATTGCGGATTTTGCCCATTATTTTCCTATTTTTGTTATATATATATATATATATATATATACAGGGTGTTCCATAATTATTGCGACAAAATGATAGGGGTTGTAGAGGGCATAAAAATATGGAATTTTGCCTTATAAACCCCTGTTCGTAAATATGCCGTTTGAGCACTACAGTTAATTTTACCTTAAGAGCTCATAGGAGAAACAAAAAATTCACCAGCTGCAAAATGTTTGTCTAGCACATTTCATGGTCTCACCGGTTTGTAAAAAAAGCCTGCTGTGTTTACATTTTTGTTATCGTACACCCGTACCACCTTTTAAAAGTCCAAGCCATGGGTCCAGCAGACTATCTGCCGCGTCGACGTTTTTGCCGTTGGTGGCTGCAGCAGGAGTTGAGGCAACCAAACTTTGGTCGCTACGTTTTGTTCACTGACGAGTCCTGTTTTACAAAGGACGGTTATTTTAATAGCCATAACAGTCACATTTGGGATGAAGAAAACCCTCATGCCATAGCCATCCATAGAGACCAACATCAGTTTTCAATTAACATCTGGTGCGGCATTGTGGACGAGCATATCATCGGGCCATATCTGCTTCCACCACGTTTGGATGGGCATGCTTATGGTCGATCCTTACAGCATGTGCTACCGGAACTATTACAAAATGTGCCACTGAATATAAGAGCCAACATGTGGTTTCAACACCATGGCGGTCCAGCCCACTTTTCTTTACAAGTGCGGCAGTATTTGGACGACAAATTTCCAAATAGGTGGATAGGCCGAGGTGGCCCTGTGCCTTGGCCTGCGCGGTCACTTGACCTGACCACACTGGATTATTTTATCTGGAGCTATCTGAAAGCTTTAGTGTACGAAACTCCTGTTCCCAACCAACAAGAGCTACTGGGAAGAGTGATGGCCGCGTCCGCACATGTTCAGGACATACCGGTGGTATGCCACAGAGTTCGCCGATCATTGAACAATCGTGCACAGCTGTGTATTGAGCAAGGTGGAGGACACTTTGAGCAATTACTGTAGGTAAGCTGTTTCAAGAAACTGATCTTTTTTTTTTGCTGCAGCCCAAACGGCATATTTCCGAACAGGGGTTTATAAGGAAAAATTGTTCATTTTGATGCCCTCTACAACCCCTATCATTTTGTCGCAATAATTATGGAACACCCTGTATATATATATATATATATATATATGTAAATCACATCCAACCAGTTCAACGCTCAGATGATTAACCTTGGCTTCCAACTACCTTTAACTTTGATGACCATTTTATCCTTTCCGGATATAAAAATTTATTTAGCGCTAATTCAATTCCTTGAAAATGTAAATATTACCTTATAAACCTCGTCTGGAATTCGTAACTGTTCAGTATATCCCCATTTTTTAGTTCTCACTGTCTCTAACACTGATCAAATAATTACGTGTTCAAACGAACTTACCTATAAATGATGTTCGATTTTAATTATGTGAAGTTCTCGTCGAAGTAAACAGAAGATATAATGTAGTACCCTTGTATCTCACTAAAC